TAGAAAATACACCAACGAGCGGCTCTGGGGCTTGCTGCTAAGACTGCAAAGGCAGGCAGCTGTGAGGAGCATTCATGAGGACAAGGGAGCAAAGGGCAGAGCTGTTTTCTCCTGCAACAGCTAAAACCAAGCAGCTCCATATCCAGAGTTGCTGGGTTCTTCTTCCTTTCCTTAACACAAAGAGAGCTCACAATCCTAGTCCACTCCATTTCCCCACCTGCCCTCAAAACCCAGTGTAATGGATGCAAACCTAGCTAAGAGTTGATTCCCTCTCATGACTGAGAGGCATAACAAAGTATGTGTATTTGGTAGAGTATACATATTTATGTGTATAACATATACGTATATATGTTAGAGTATATATGTTTAGCTTCTCTAGCCAACAAGTCAGCTTCATTTGGAGCTCAGTTCAGATGCCTCTATACAAATGCCCATAGTATGGGGAATAAACAAGAGGAATTAGAGATGTGTGCAGAGCCACAGGGATATGATATCATTGGCATCACAGAAACATGGTGGGATGGCTCCTATGACTGGAGTGTTGGAATGTAAGGTTACAGGCTCTTTAGAAAAGACAGTAGAGGCAGATGGGGAGGGGGAATAGCTGTTTATATCAGTGATAGGCTGGAGAGTATGGAATTCTGTCTGGGGACAGGTAATCAGTCGACAGAGAGTTTGTGGGTCAGGGTCAAAGGGAGAACAGCTATGGGGGGCATTACTGTGGGGATTTGTTACAGACCGCCTGATCAGAAGGACTCTGTGGATGAAGCGCTCCAATAGACAGGAGAATCCTCACTTCCTCTTGCAAGTAATAGAGGAGCTGACAAGGAGAGGTGCCATGCTTGACATCATGCTCACCAACAGGGAAGGGCTGGTTGGAAGTGTGATGCTCCAGGGAACCCTTGGCTGCAGCAATCATGAGATGGTCGAATTTGAGATCCTCAGGACAGTGAGAAGAGTGTGCAGCAAGCTCACTGCCCTGGATTCAAGAGAGCAGACTTTGGCCTCTTCAGGAACCTGCTTAGTGAGGTTCCATGGGAAAAAGCCCTAAAGAGCAGGGGGGGCCAAGACTGTTGGTTGATATTCAAGGATCACCTGCTACAAGCTCAGGAGTGCTACATCCTGAGTAGAAGGAAATGAGGCAGGAGGGCCAGAAGACCTCCATGGATGGATAAGGAGCTGCTGAGGAAACTTAGAGGGGAAAAAAAAAGCTTATAAAAAGTGGAAGCGAGGACAGCTGGCCTGGGAAGAATACAGGGATGTTGTCTGGGAAGCTAGGGACCAGGTCACGAAAGCTAAGGCCCAGTTAGAATCAAGACTGACCATGGGTGTGAAAGATAACAGGAAAGACTTCCATAGGTATGCAGCAAATAAAAGACTGAATAGGGACAACATAGGCCCTCTCCAGAAGCTATCAGGAGAACTGGCTACCCAGGATTTGGAGAAGGCTGAGGTTCTTAATGACTTCTTTGCCTCGGTCTTCAATGGCAAAGGCTCTGACACCACCACCCAAGTCTTGGAAGGCAACCGCAGGGACTGTGAGAATGAAGACCTTGGGCCCACTGTAGGAGAGGATCTGGTTTGAGACCATCTTAAGAACCTGAACGTACACAAGTCCATGGGACCTGATGAAATCCATCCATGGGTCCTGAAGGAGCTGGCGAATGAATTTACTAAGCCACTGTCCATCATATTTGAAAAATCATGGCAGTCAGGTGAAATTCCTGATGACTGGAAAAAGGGAAATATAACCCCCATTTGGAAGAAGGGGAAAATGGAAGACCCAGGGTATTACAGACCAGTCAGTCTCACCTCTGTGCCTGGCAAAATCTTGGAGCAGATTCTCCTGGAAGGCATGCTAAGGCACATGAAAAACAACAAGGTGTGGAGACAGTGTTCTCACAGGAGAACGCATAATTGGTACATAAACTGAATAATCCTGAAAGATACAGCAAGGCCGTGAGAGGCCCAAGAAAGCTTAAGCAAGCACGATAAGAAGATGCTGTAATTCACTGAGTTAATGAGAACTGTGGACTGTTGGCAAGCTTTCGAGGTCAAGTTCTCACACCTGTGCTTAACCAATTAGTTGCTAATCACTAAGTGTCTTCAAGACTTGTATCCAACCATAATATGCCAAATCACTGTAAGTGTCTGTAAGAAATTGTATATAAGGAGTTAAGGCTTTGTAATAAATTGGCATTCGCTGATCACATTGATCATTCCTGCGTTGTCCATGACTCCCGCGTCGACAACAAGGTGCTTGGGGACAGCCAACAGGGCTTCAATAAGGGGAAATCCTGCTTGTCCAACCTGGTGGCCTTCTATGATGGGGCTACAGAACTGATGGACAGGGGTAGAGCAGTTGACGTCATCTACCTGGAACTATGCAAAATGTTTGACACTGTCCCACACCACATCCATGTCTCTAAATTGAAGAGACATCAATTTGATGGTTGCACAACTCGGTGGATAAAGAACTGGCTGGATGGCCACACACAGAGTTGTGGTCAATGGCTCAATGTCCATCTGGAGACCAGTAATCTGTGGTGGCCCTCAGGGATTGGTGTTTAGGCCAGTCTTGTTCAACGTCTTTATCGGTGACGTGGAAAGTGGGATTGAGTGCGCCCTCAGCAAGTTTGCCGATGACACCAAGCTGTGTTGTTCGGTTGATACGCTGGAGGGAAGGAATGCCATCCAGAGGGACCTTGACACGCTTGTGAGGTGGGCTGATGCCAACCTCATCTAGTTTAACCATGCCAAGTGCAAGGTCCTACACCTGGGGTCATGGCAATCGCAGGCACAGCTACAGGCTGGGCGGAGAAGAAATTCAGAGCCGCCCTGTGGAGAAGGACTTGAGGGTGTTGGTCAATGAGAATATGAACGTGAGCTGGCAGAGTGCGCTTGCAGCCCAGAAAGCCAACCGTACCCTGGGCTGCATCAAAAGGAGTGTGACCAGCAGGTTGAAGGAGCTGATCCTGCCCCTCTACTCTGCCCTCATGAGACCTCACTTGTCATAGTTTAAACTTAGTCACACAGCTCATTCACCCCCCCCCCCTTTATGCCCTTATGGGATGGGAAGGAGAATCAAAAGAATGCAACTCCCACGGGTTGAGATAAGATCAGTTTAGTAACTAAGGTATAACATAAATCACTACTGCTACTACCAATGATAATAATGAGAAAGGAAATAACAAGGGAAAAGAATACAACAACTCACCACTCGATAACTCACCCCCTCAACCTGACCAAGCACCGACCAATACCTCCGATACCTAGTCCCACCCCACAGTCCACTAGCCCTTCTGGGTAAACCTCAGTTACATCCTGGGCATGACGTTCTGTGGTATGGAATACTTCTTTGGTCAGTTTGGGTCAGGTGTCCTGTCTCTGCTTTCTCCCGGCTTCCCTCCTCCCTGGCAGAGCATGAGGCTCAGACAGTCCTTGGTCAGACTAAAACGTCAGTGTTGTCAGCTCTGTTCCCAGGCTGAAAGTCAAAACACAGCGCTGCACCAGCTACTAAGAAGGAGAAAAATGACTGGTACCGTTGAACCTAGGAGAACTGTGTTCAGTTCTGGTGTCCTCAACATAAAAAGGACATGGAACTGTTGGAACAAGTCCAGAAGAGGGCCACAAGGATGATCAGGGGACTGGAGCACTTCCTGTATGAAGATAGGCTGAGAAAGTTGGGGCTGTTCAGCCTGGAGAAGAGAAGGCTGCATGGAGACCTCATAGCAGCATTTCAGTATCTGAATGGGTGCCTACAAGGATGCTGGGGAGGGACTGTTCACTAGGGACTGTAGTGATAGGACAAGGGGTAATGGGTTAAAACTTAAACAGGGGAAGTTTAGATTGGATATAAGGAGGAAGTTCTTTACTGTATGGGTAGTGAGGCACTGGAATGGTTTGCCCAGGGAAGTTGTGAATGCTCCATCCCTGGCAGTGTTCAAGGCCAAGTTGGACAGAGCCTTGGGTGACATGGTTTAGTGTGAAGTGTCCCTGCCCATGACAGGGGGGGGTTGGAACTAGATGATCTTAAGGTCCTTTCCAACCCTAACTATTCTATGATTCTAAAAGGAGCGTAAGTAGCAGGACAAAGGAGGTGATCCTGCCCCTGTGCTCTTATGAGACCTCACTTGGAGTATTATGTACATTTCTGGTGTCCTCAACATATAAAGGACATAGAACTGTTGGAACAAGTCCAGAGTTGGGCCACAAGGATGATCAGGGTCTTGGAGAAGGCTGCGTGGAGACTTCATAGCAGCCTTCCAGTATCTGAATGGGGGCTATAGGGATGCTGGGGAGGGACTATTCATTACGGACTGTAGTGATAGGACAAGCCGTTCAGCCTGGAGAAGACAAGGTTGCGTGGAGACTTCATAGCAGCTTTCCAGTATCAGAAGGGGGCGCCTATAAGGATACTGGGGCGGGAATCTTCATTAGGGACTGTAGTGATAGGACAAGGGATAACGGGTTAAAACTTAAACAGGGGAAGTGTAGACTGGATATAAGGAGGAAGTTATTTACTGTAAGGTTGGTGAGGCAGTGGAATGGGTTGCCCAGGGAGGCTGTGAATGCTCCATCCCTAGCGGCATTCAAGGCCAGGTTGGACAGAGCTTTGGGTGACATGGTTAATGTGAGGTGTCCCTGCCCATGGCAGGGGTGTTGGAACTAGATGATCTTAAGGTCCTTTCCAACCCTAACTATTCTATGATTCTACGAAAGGGGGACGGAGTGTAGCGACCCCCCGCTCCCCTCAGCCCCGCGGGGTGAGTCACCACACTCACACGCCCGAGGCGATGGGGAAGAGGAGCACTGATTCACCCCACTTCTGTCCTCGGAGGGCGGTGCTCGGTGACGCATGCGCGTTGTGGTGCTCTGAGTTGTAAGTGGTGTGGCTGTTGGGACGGAGTTTACTAGTGGGGGAGGAAGTTGGGGGGTGGTGGCAGGAGGAGGGAAGAGGAGGTGGCTGATGGGAGGATTAACAAAGGTCGAAACTGGTGCTCGGGTGAATCTATAGGTTGCTGGCGGCAGTCTCTTCACTATGCCGCGGGTTGTCCCTGACCAGCGGAGCAAATTCGAGAATGAGGAGTTTTTCAGGAAGCTGAGCCGAGAGTGTGAGGTGAGGCGGTGACGAGCTCTTTTTTTTTTTTTTTCCTTTCTCTTTTCGAAAGTTTCGGCGGAGGGGCCGAGGAATCATCTCTTCTCAGTGGAGAGCCGAGCTCGGTGGCGTGGAGAGCTGCAGTTTGTGCACTCCGCTGCGTCCTTATCGCCGCGATTGGCCTTTCTTGCTTTCGCGTTCTGTTCTTCGCAGGTTAAATATACCGGCTTCAGGGATCGGCCGCACGAGGAGAGGCAGGCCCGCTTCCAGAACGCTTGTCGTGATGGTCGCTCCGAGATCGTAAGTGGCGCTGAGCTTCTTTCATGTCCCTGCGCCTGGTAGCTGCGAGCAGGAAGCGGCTGTCCCGGGGTCCGGCAGCTCCTCTGGGGCGCTTCCCCCCGTAGGTGGGATTTTAAATTAAAAGCTTCAGGAAGTCTTGGAGGGGGAAACCTTTCGAAGTGTCCGAGCTGAAGTGCAGTGTGTGGCGGGAGGGAGCGGTGGTCGGTACCCGCGCTGAAAAGTTTTGCTTGAGGAAAAGAAAAATTCTGCCGCCTTTCAAAGGGCGAGGGAGAGGAGGCTTTTGTTAAAAGGCAGCATTTCTTCCCCTCTTCAGAATAGCACTTTTCTCGCTGAAACATGTCGCTCTGCCTTCGCCAGCAGTGAAAATGTCGTTGGGGGTTTGAAGGGAAGTGATGGGTAGGTGAGGAACATCTCAGGACCATACGCGAATATGAACTGGCTGTGCTGCCTGTCCTGTGCACGTGTTAGTCATAACTTGCTTATTTCACTATTTGATTCAGTCTTCCAGCTTTCCCCCCCAATCTCAAGCTAGCTTTCAGAAACTTGTAAAATTGTTCAGGAGATGCTAACTAAAAGGTCTTGACTGAGCTGTGTGATGTGCTTGCGAATTAAATCATGGAATTGTAGAATCATTTAGGTTGGAAGGGACCTTAAACAAATCATATACTTTTAAAATTAGATTTTGAAACTCGCCACTTTAGCCCTTATTCTATCATTCATTAAGATTAGTTGCAGGATACTTGCCGCTTTTTAATTCTGAAGCGAGATGAAGTATGGCCCAGAGTAGTCAAGAACTGACTAGTTATTTCCTCGCTTGATTTCTGCTGTATGTTGCTTCTGCAGGATCAGTATCTTATTGTTGTTAAGTTCTGAACTCTTTGCTGTTAATAAAATTAAGTAATCTCTCATTTATAGAATATAATGAAAGGTAAAAGAGGTAAAAATTCGTTTTCCATAGAAAATAATCCCTACTTTCACCAAGTTTGGTTTATGATTATTTTTTTAATCTCACATGGTATAGATATTGCTAGTCAACGTATGATGGAGCTGTTCTTATGCACGCACATCCCATCAAATATAACTGAATACCAATTACTGCAACTGATCTTGTTTATTTGCATTTGTGAGTAAAAGGATATGCATTCAAGTGCATGCTTACCTTTTATTGAGTGACTTTATTTTTAGCTGAATCTTATCCTGTGGTCTTAGAACCTGTGATATTATTTAGTGAAAAGGTCCCTGTAGCCTGTCTCTTTTTTTTTTTTTTCTTTCCTTTCTTTCCTTTCTTTCCTTTCTTTCCTTTCTTTCCTTTCTTTCCTTTCTTTCCTTTCTTTCCTTTCTTTCCTTTCTTTCCTTTCTTTCCTTTCTTTCCTTTCTTTCCTTTCTTTCCTTTCTTTCCTTTCTTTCCTTTCTTTCCTTTCTTTCCTTTCTTTCCTTTCTTTCCTTTCTTTCCTTTCTTTCCTTTCTTTCCTTTCTTTCCTTTCTTTCCTTTCTTTCCTTTCTTTCCTTTCTTTCCTTTCTTTCCTTTCTTTCCTTTCTTTCCTTTCTTTCCTTTCTTTCCTTTCTTTCCTTTCTTTCCTTTCTTTCCTTTCTTTCCTTTCTTTCCTTTCTTTCCTTTCTTTCCTTTCTTTCCTTTCTTTCCTTTCTTTCCTTTCTTTCCTTTCTTTCCTTTCTTTCCTTTCTTTCCTTTCTTTCCTTTCTTTCCTTTCTTTCCTTTCTTTCCTTTCTTTCCTTTCTTTCCTTTCTTTCCTTTCTTTCCTTTCTTTCCTTTCTTTCCTTTCTTTCCTTTCTTTCCTTTCTTTCCTTTCTTTCCTTTCTTTCCTTTCTTTCCTTTCTTTCCTTTCTTTCCTTTCTTTCCTTTCTTTCCTTTCTTTCCTTTCTTTCCTTTCTTTCCTTTCTTTCCTTTCTTTCCTTTCTTTCCTTTCTTTCCTTTCTTTCCTTTCTTTCCTTTCTTTCCTTTCTTTCCTTTCTTTCCTTTCTTTCCTTTCTTTCCTTTCTTTCCTTTCTTTCCTTTCTTTCCTTTCTTTCCTTTCTTTCCTTTCTTTCCTTTCTTTCCTTTCTTTCCTTTCTTTCCTTTCTTTCCTTTCTTTCCTTTCTTTCCTTTCTTTCCTTTCTTTCCTTTCTTTCCTTTCTTTCCTTTCTTTCCCTTTCTTTCCTTTCTTTCCTTTCTTTCCTTCTTTCTTTCCTTTCTTTCCTTTCTTTCCTTTCTTTCCTTTCTTTCCTTTCTTTCCTTTCTTTCCTTTCTTTCCTTTCTTTCCTTTCTTTCCTTCCCTTTCTTTCCTTCCCTTTCTTTCCTTCCCTTTCTTTCCTTTCCCTTTCTTTCCTTCCCTTTCTTTCCTTCCCTTTCTTTCCTTCTTTCCTTTCTTTCCTTTCTTTCCTTTCTTTCCTTCTTTCCTTTCTTTCCTTCTTTCCTTTCTTTCCTTTCTTTCCTTTCTTTCCTTTCTTTCCTTTCTTTCCTTTCTTTCCTTTCTTTCCTTTCTTTCCTTTCCTTTCCCTTTCTTTCCTTTCTTTCCTTTCCCTTTCTTTCCTTTCTTTCCTTTCTTTCCTTTCTTTCCTTTCTTTCCTTTCTTTCCTTTCTTTCCTTTCTTTCCTTTCTTTCCTTTCTTTCCTTTCTTTCCTTTCTTTCCTTTCTTTCCTTTCTTTCCTTTCTTTCCTTCCTTTCTTTCTTTCCTTTCTTTCCTTCCTTTCTTTCTTTCCTTTCTTTCCTTTCTTTCCTTTCTTTCCTTTCTTTCCTTCTTTCCTTTCCTTTCCCTTTCCTTTCTTTCTTTCTTTCCTTTCTTTCCTTTCTTTCCTTTCTTTCCTTCTTTCCTTTCTTTCCTTTCTTTCCTTTCTTTCCTTTCCCTTTCTTTCCTTTCTTTCCTTTCTTTCCTTTCTTTCCTTTCTTTCCTTTCTTTCCTTTCTTTCCTTTCTTTCCTTTCTTTCCTTTCTTTCCTTTCTTTCCTTTCTTTCCTTTCTTTCCTTTCTTTCCTTTCTTTCCTTTCTTTCCTTTCTTTCCTTTCCTTTCCTTTCTTTCCTTTCTTTCCTTTCTTTCCTTTCTTTCCTTTCCCTTTCTTTCCTTTCTTTCCTTTCTTTCCTTTCTTTCCTTTCTTTCCTTCTTTCCTTTCTTTCCTTTCTTTCCTTTCTTTCCTTTTCTTTCCTTTCTTTCCTTTCTTTCCTTTCTTTCCTTTCTTTCCTTTCTTTCCCTTTCTTTCCTTCTTTCCTTTCTTTCCTTTCTTTCCTTTCTTTCCTTTCTTTCCTTTCTTTCCTTTCTTTCCTTTCTTTCCTTTCTTTCCTTTCTTTCCTTTCTTTCCTTTCTTTCCTTTCTTTCCTTTCTTTCTTTCTTCCTTTCTTTCCTTTCTTTCCTTTCTTTCCTTTCTTTCCTTTCTTTCCTTTCTTTCCTTTCTTTCCTTTCTTTCCTTTCTTTCCTTTCTTTCCTTTCTTTCCTTTCTTTCCTTTCTTTCCTTTCTTTCCTTTCTTTCCTTTCTTTCCTTTCTTTCCTTTCTTTCCTTTCTTTCCTTTCTTTCCTTTCTTTCCTTTCTTTCCTTTCTTTCCTTTCTTTCCTTTCTTTCCTTTCTTTCCTTTCTTTCCTTTCTTTCCTTTCTTTCCTTTCTTTCCTTTCTTTCCTTTCTTTCCTTTCTTTCCTTTCTTTCCTTTCTTTCCTTTCTTTCCTTTCTTTCCTTTCTTTCCTTTCTTTCCTTTCTTTCCTTTCTTTCCTTTCTTTCCTTTCTTTCCTTTCTTTCCTTTCTTTCCTTTCTTTCCTTTCTTTCCTTTCTTTCCTTTCTTTCCTTTCTTTCCTTTCTTTCCTTTCTTTCCTTTCTTTCCTTTCTTTCCTTTCTTTCCTTTCTTTCCTTTCTTTCCTTTCTTTCCTTTCTTTCCTTTCTTTCCTTTCTTTCCTTTCTTTCCTTTCTTTCCTTTCTTTCCTTTCTTTCCTTTCTTTCCTTTCTTTCCTTTCTTTCCTTTCTTTCCTTTCTTTCCTTTCTTTCCCTTTCTTTCCTTCTTTCCTTTCTTTCCTTTCTTTCCTTTCTTTCCTTTCTTTCCTTTCTTTCTTTCTTTCCTTTCTTTCCCCTTTCTTTCCTTTCTTTCCTTTCTTTCCTTTCTTTCCTTTCTTTCCTTTCTTTCCTTTCTTTCCTTTCTTTCCTTTCTTTCCTTTCTTTCCTTTCTTTCCTTTCTTTCCTTTCTTTCCTTTCTTTCCTTTCTTTCCTTTCTTTCCTTTCTTTCCTTTCTTTCCTTTCTTTCCTTTCTTTCCTTTCTTTCCTTTCTTTCCTTTCTTTCCTTTCTTTCCTTTCTTTCCTTTCTTTCCTTTCTTTCCTTTCTTTCCTTTCTTTCCTTTCTTTCCTTTCTTTCCTTTCTTTCCTTTCTTTCCTTTCTTTCCTTTCTTTCCTTTCTTTCCTTTCTTTCCTTTCTTTCCTTTCTTTCCTTTCTTTCCTTTCTTTCCTTTCTTTCCTTTCTTTCCTTTCTTTCCTTTCTTTCCTTTCTTTCCTTTCTTTCCTTTCTTTCCTTTCTTTCCTTTCTTTCCTTTCTTTCCTTTCTTTCCTTTCTTTCCTTTCTTTCCTTTCTTTCCTTTCTTTCCTTTCTTTCCTTTCTTTCCTTTAACATTCACCAGGGAAACAATGGGTAGGCAAGGAAAACAAAATTTGCTAGCACTTCAAGTTCCTGAGCAGGTAAAAGTGCTTAGTATACCTGAGTCTACTAAAAAATAAAATAAATGGACATGTAGGCTATAACCTAGCTTTCTAATGCAGCCTACATAGTTATATAAAAGGGAAATCACTGTAGTTTCACCTCTGTACTTGCTGCTGTCTGTCTTAGCCAGAGCTTCATCTCTTGGAAGCAACCAGTGATGCTTGTCTTGTGTGCTTAATTATGAAACAGTGTCTGAACTACTTGATCTGAAACATCTGGTTTTGGTTTGTGAACAGGGCACAAGTAGTTGGGTTTATTTAGGAATGTGTGTGTAATGACTGATGTTAAAAAGAGCTAGCTCTTGAATAAATCCTTGTTATCGGGAAAAACATTTTTTATTTTTGTGAAATACAAACTCACTCCTTTAAAGAAGATAACCGGGTTTTATTGAGGGACAAAGTCAATAAAGCAAAAGCAACAGCACTGGGTGCATGACGGTAGCCAGAGGCGCAAGTGATTAGCATTTGTTACAGGTTTATATACTTTCACTATTACATTAGTTACATGCATATTCATAATTCCCGCATATAGGTGGGGAATGTTATAACTAACACCCAGAATTTATCATAAATCCCCTCCTCTTGGTGTCTGCTCACTGCTCTCCAGTGATTGTGGGCAGGGGTCTTGAGGATGAAGTAAGCAGCCTTCCTCTTGTGAGTAGGGGTCTTCAAGATGAAGTAAGCAGTCTTCCTCACAGTGTACTTTTCACCTTTGGCACAGTTGGATGCCCCAGTAATCGCACAACTAGCTGAAACCAGCTATGTCTGTAATTTTTCTGATAACTAGCAAAGATTTAAAACAGTGTGACCTTCCTGCAAAATTTATTGCAGGATAGGCAGACAAGGAGTATCCCAATATAGCAGATGTTTGGGAGGCTCTGTCTCTAACTGATAAGTAGAAGGATGGTGTGAAATAACTCATTCATGTTTAGTGGGGCCACTAAATCCTGTTATCTCACCACAGACTTACAACACAAACATTGTTCTTTAAAACTAAAGATACTTTAGAAGACTAGTGTGAAACAATTAACTCATGTTTAGTGGGGCCACTACATTCCACAGACTTACAACATAAACGTTGTTCTCTTTCTACAACCTAAGTTAAGCTAAAAAGTACTTTATGTTTTTCAGGCACTAGCTTTTCTTATATCAAGCACACCCCCCCCTTCTTTCTTTTACCTTTACAAATTCTTTTGCTATGTGACTGTTTTGCTCAAGAGTTCTGGCCCTTTTTAACTTGTTGTCTAATCTTGTGTCTTTAGCGAGCTTTGTTTCTGTTATTGTAAACTCATACAGTTATATCCACATAACCACACCTATGATTTGCGAAAGCCAATACATTTATGTGTTTATCACAATTTTCAAAGGGAGCCTTTGCAAATGACCTTACATATTTTCAAGCAGCAAAAAAAATGCAGATAATAGTTTAGGGATTTAATGTAGAACTGCCAGTAGGTTGTTGGTTACTTCTGTCAAATAACTTTTGATGGAATAAAGAAAATAATTACCAGTGCTACTGGAAAGTTTTACCAAAAGTTTTTGGGCTTACTGGTATTGCTTTGGTAACCTGAAAATAACTTTAGGTGTCCAGTTTATTTTGGGAGACTTCTAACTACCTTCTTGTGTGGAAGGTACTAGTGTACGCTTATACTTGCATGCAACATAAAATGTTCTATGCAAGTGGGTCAGATCACCCTTGTCCTACCTGATGAGCTTTTTGTAAAATGTGAGGCATATGTAGGGCAGTATTTCAGGTTGAGCTTTATTTAAAAGACTCAGTAAAAAAAAAAAAAAACACAAAACCAACCAAACAAAAAACCCATTCCCCCCAAAAAAAACACCAAACAACAAAACAAAACATTATTTTTCTGACTTTCAAGTTTAAGCCCAAACTTGTGGTGTGATTTTTCTTAAATATTTTTTTAGTTTCCTTGTTATTAGAGGAAAATTGTTGGGTTCAGTCTAGTCCTGTATGGTTACTAGCAAGACTTCTCAGGTTTGGTTTTGTGGTAAACACGTAAATGTATTGGCTTTCGCAAATCATAGATGTTGCTATGTGGATATAACTGTATGAGTTCCCAGTAACAGAAACAAAGCTTGCTAAGGACACAAGATTAGAGAACAAGTTGAAAATGGCCAGAACTCTTGATGAGGATGTGGGAATTTGTGCTGCTTTTTTCTGATATTTTTCCCATGTTTTTTTCATAGCACAAGTTTACGGGTGGAAGCAGGGAGGCATGGGCACTTCAGTCTTTTTTTTTTTGTTTGTTTCCCAGAAGGCAAGTATAGTACCCTTGGAGCCTGAAGAAACCAGAGTGGTCCAAAGGGATAAGGATAGTCTGGAAGGGAACTCAATTGCAGAGTATTAGTCTCCCTTGGTGGAGGGGCAAAAAGTCAAGACAAAGAACTTCTATTTTCAAAATGGGAGGTATTAATCTTGTGACAGCATTGCAGTATGTGACTAGATCTATCTTAATGTGTAGAGCTATTGTGTCATAGGTAGCAGTACAGTTACACCAAAAAGTTACCTAATTCTGGGTTGCTTGAAAAGAATGTCAGGAGATTCGAACTATAAGAACAGTATTTGTATAGCTTTTAAGGAAAACTATTCAGGATTAATGACTACTTAAAGTGATATTGGTAATCAATGCAGTTATTTGATTGCAACAAATTATGTTTAACCCTGGGATTTTGAGTAGAGGTATTCTGGGAGCACGCTTGAGTATTCACATGCTTACAGGACACTTGAGTGTGCCAGTGAAGGGCATAAATACTGTGAGCCTGACTTCTTGCATAAATATTTTTTAATTGAAATAATGTCTGGAAATTTACATATGTTGCATGGCTTGGAGTTAGGATTACAAATAAATACAGAGTTTATAGAGAGAACTGAATCTTACTTTTATTTGATACCATAGAAAATTATTTACTTGAAAGCAGCTTATGCTTCTGATATGGTTAAGTCATGATCCTTTCATAAATCCTTTAATGATTTTTACAAAGGGCTGCAGCTGAGAATTCCTACAGCTGCCTATTGTCATTGACACAGCATCTGCTGATTTAGATTTCACTGGTTTCCTAATATGGCAAGAGGGCTTCATCCTGTTAAGTTTAATTGAGCTGTATATTAGATGACAAAATACGAATACTTACATTCCAGTTAAGTGTTTGCCTAGGTACAAAGTAGGTTGTGAAAGGAAACAGTCCTTTGAAAAAGAATTGTGCCATGTAACAGGTCTCAGGAGTTAATTTTCCTTCAGCAATACTTCTAGAGATATTCAAGCTCTTTGAAAAGCATGGGCAATTTTTAATGTTGTAGGAACTGTAAGTGCAGGGTATCCAGACATAACTGAAAGGATGGATTCTAATGTCAGCAAAACTGATTTGAAAGAAGTATTGATTCTGTGTTATGTTTTATGTCCAAAGCAGCCAATGGCAAATGTTGTCAAAATGGAATTGGATGTTTAACTTTATATTTAAGAAAAATGATGAGTGCATGTTTTTGACTTTAAGTATTCTCTATGCTGCCTGGCTTCAGACATGAACTTGTGTAAAAATTAATGAATACCTGTATAATTTATGTAATGTTTTGCTCCCTGATTCTGTTTGTATTGATTTTTCTAAAAGGCTTTTGTGGCCACGGGAACCAATCTGTCTCTCCAGTTTTTTCCAGCCAGTTGGCAGGGGGAGCAGAGACAGACACCCACTCGGGAATATGTTGACTTTGAAAGAGAAGGAGGCAAGGTAAGAAGGAAATTGGTGTGACTGAAATATACTTTTATGTTCTGCTTAGATATTATTAATATAGACCACATGTATGACCTGAAATTAATATTTCCTATCTTGATGCATGTAGGTAGTCCCATGAGTACAGATGGAAACTGGTCTGATCAAGTATGCTATCACTTTGTTTTAGAGTATGTTAATATTTCTAGAGGGAAACACGTGGGCAGTCCCGGTGGCTTTTTATTATTTTGAAGAACGGAACATTATTTCTGCTGTCATGCTGCGACAAAATTTTGGGGAACAACTTAAATTTGGTGTTGAGTAGGTGCTTCAGAAATTAGAGTTTTGGCAGTGTATTGTGGTAGACTAATGAAAATTTGTGCTTTGAATAGGTTACTTCCTTGGGTTTTAAATTGCCAGTTGATACAGCAAGCATTCACCATGCTGCTTAATGGAGTGAAAATTTTTCTTTCGCAGTTTCACTGTGAGAGATAACACAGAAGCAGCGTTACTTTTGGAATTGATTTCTGGTTTTTTTTTTTTTTTTTTCTTCCTGAGGTGCCTTTCCCATAGATTGATATTGAAAGATAGAATTCCCTCATGACAGTGATGGCTACTGTGAAGCTGTACTAGATTTAAAGCCAGAAGCCTTGCTTAGTCTCATCAGAATAAAGTTACCGAAATCACACCTGCTTCCCCCCTCCTTCTACAGGAAAAACATGTATTTAAAAAGTGGATGCTGTCTTTTATCTGTGCTGCTGTAGGTGCTTTGGGACTGATCCAAAGGTCACTGAATTCAGTAGGAGACTTTCTGCAGACCCCAGTAAGTTTGGACCACCACTTAAGCTCCCACAGCCTTTCTGTTTCAGGCTAACTTCTGTATAATTTTTTTACTTAAAAAAATTTTTAGTAGATCACAAAATGCTTGCTTTTATCTCAAATTTTTACTCCTTCTTGTAACAAGTAACAGCTACTGCTACCAAACCTACTGGGCTGGAGGAAATATTTGAAGCATATTTGGGTTTAATGTCATATTGGGTCCTCTAAATGCTGCTAGGTGGAAGCTAAATATTTCCTATAGTGGGTAAAGTTGACTGGAAAAAAAATAATCCTGAGTGCATTTATAGCATTTGGGTTCCAAGTTAATGAGCTCTTTTAGAAAAAAGTTTTTCATTTAGTCTTGCGAGGCTTACAGAAATTTGACAAATTGGGGAGGAGGAGCTAATTTGGCTATGCTGAGTATTGACTGCTTTGCTAAGGAAACTGAATTGAATCTGGCTCTGACTGAAAAAATATTGATTCTGGCTCACAGTTGAACGAGGAATTTTTCTTGTAATATGTAAGAAGACTGAAGTCTCTCTCCTTGCCAGTTCAAAACTAACTTTATTTACTCCTATGATTTTTTAAATTTTTTTTTCCTCTGAATGAATTCTTAAAGTACTGAACTAATTAATCTATTTTCTTGTGTTGTCTTAATCATGTTATCATGGTAGATATGCTGTGTATTAAAATAGAACATGAGCCTCACTAATGAATGCCACTCCTTGTTTTATGTGTTTACAGTAAATTCTAGACTGCTTTGTTAAAATGTTTAGAAGAATTCATCTGAATGAGGCTGGAGGTGGACAAACTAATAAATGGGAGTAGTGTTATGCTCCAGTATGAACAAATTGCAAATTCATGGTTGTAATTAAACTTTACTAGTGTCAATCACATGTGAATGTGGGCTTGCTCTGCACAGAATTAAACTTCTCTGGGAGTAAGCCACTCCTAGAACTTCAGAAGAGGAGTAAGATGAGAGCATGTTCCTTGCATCAACAGGAAGTGTTTCATGCGAGGTGTCCTGAGGCTGTCCTCTGTAGATTTTGGTTGTTTGGCTTTAAGAATTTCTTAGGCTCCAGCAGTCTCTTAACACCATGTGATTTTTGTAGATCTGTAAAACATTGTTTTGAGAGCTTTGTTTCTCGTGGCAATGCATGCTGTGCTTGTTCATCGCCAGATTTAAGCCAGCAATGAATGTTTTTAATTATATGAGTAAAAAAGTCTGGGGGGAGCTGTCAGTTTATTATTTTTAGGCATTAGTGTGAGATCTAGAATGTAGATAAGCTTCCCAACACTAGAATATTTTTGTTCTGGAATTATGCTTTGGGGTTTGGCTGAACAAATGACGGCCCAGAATATTTTATCCGGAGTTGAAGTATGTTGCTATTGTGACTAAGCAGTTTTGTACAAAGATTGACAAAGCCACCAGTCTGCTAGAATTGCTTCTTAGGTGATTGAATAACACTCTTGTAAATCCATGTGACAGTTGGGATTCTGTGAATACTGCTTTACAGGCTTGAGGTTTCTCTTTCTGGTATTTCCTAACTGAGGGGGGTTTTGTATGATTAATTTGCCTTTTAATTTGATGCATCTGATGTTCATGGTGGGTAGGCAAGCCTCTAGTGGGTACACTGTCTTAATTCAAGAATTGGATAGCTAAGTGCTCACTTAATGTTTCAGCTTGCTTTAAACTCAAGCTTAACGTTTTTTTTCCAAGGTAGTTTTAACGTTCTGTGCTGTCTTTGACCTGTGGCAAATCTAATTTTGTATTTGAGCACTTTCTCAGGTATGTCATAGCAAAAGTAGAACTGAAGATAGGTCTCTAGATTTGTAGAAATGATAGAACATTGTACTTCATTGTGATTGTGGGGGGTGTGGAAGGTACATCAAATTCAGTGTATGTCCTGTTTTTGGATATCCAAACCATACCAAGGCTTCCTAGTTTGTGGAGGTTTTTTTTTTTGTTTGTTTGCTTGGGTGTTGTTTTGTGTGTGTTTGTTGTGTTGTTGTTTTCTTTTTTTGTTGTTGTTGTTGTTGTTGTTTTAAGATACTGTTAAGAAATCCAGAGGCAGACAGTAGTAGTCTAATGAAAAAATCACATAATTGAATTCTAGAGTGAAATCAAGAGCTTTATTTTCACCTTGGTTCTCTGGTATTGTTAATTACTTAGACTGGTTTTTATTGTGCTTAATGAAGTCCTTGACTTCAGTTTTATATTGATAACATATAAACAAACTTCAGGCTGAACTGAATGTGTGGCCTTCAGTGCTTCTCAGAATCTGATTTTATTGAAAGTCCCCTTGTTTTGATAAGAACTGTGATCAGATATCTTTGCATGATTCATTTTGTGTACTTTTTACAGTAAGATAACATGTTCTCAGTTTTTGATTGTTGCTCACTATGTTCATACAGCTCTTGTTTTTCTTACCAGAAAGAATATTAGGTCTCAGACTTTATTTTTTTTTCTTTTATTGTTTAAATACCTGTCACTAGGCTGTTGAAATGTGTGAAGGTTGGTTTATTTCCCCTCCCCTTTATAATACTATTTTCCACCTTGCTTCTAATGCAGCTTAACTTCCTGTCTATTGCTTGGTGCAGCTGCTCATACATATAAGCTCTTCAATACAAGCTCATTTCGGTATAATATGCTGTAAATTCCACAACTCTGGAGGGAAGCACATCAGAGATGATCAGAATTGATTTGTAGTGCCTGTTATGCTGTGTCTGATATAGGCAGGATTTCTACTCACTAGACCATTAACTTTGTTCTAGCCATAACCAAAGATTACCACACTTCAGCTTTCTTCCTGAAGATGCTGAGTTTCTACTCATTCAGGTTTTTGTTGTAACTAGGAAATTATATTTGGCTATAAGTTGATGTTAAGTGATTAGATAAATTAAACTGAAAATATCTGTGCTGCAGATGTTACAGCAGTTACAGAATGTAATGGGGGGGAAGGAAGATGATGTGTTTGACCAAAAATTATATTTAAATGGAAACCAACAGCACCAATTTTCCCATTTGTGTCCTCTTCTATCACTAGAGGTTTGATAGGGCTTGTCCCTAAATCAACTTCTTTTCTGACTTCAGTAAGATTTCATAGATTATTGGGTTGGTGTTTTGGCTGTTCCATTTTCTATGCAAATTCAGTTTCCAGTCAAACATAGGATCACAGTGTACCCAGTGGAATTTGTTTGGGAAATGGGGATTAATTTATGAGAAATACCTAAGTATCAGTGCTAATCTGTATCAAATCAAAAGTATTTTCTTTAATTTTCTTGGTACCCACCAATGTTAGATGAAACATTAAATCATATAAAGTTGGAGTAGCAACTTCCTTTTTTTCTTTAGGTATGCTTACTTTTAAGAAATGGTTAAGGGTGTCTGGAGAAACTGATTTACAGCTTCAGCTCTTGTTTTACTGTTGTTGTAGTGCTAAAGAGCCAGATTGCTTAAGTTCCTGTGTTTTCAGTCCCACCAATATTTTGTGGTTTTGCATTGTCACTGTCTGAAATGTTCTCACAGTTAGCAGTTCCTTGTATGTGTTCCCTGCCATCCACTGAATCTCTGGACCAGTAGGATTTGAGTTCAACTGTTTTCTGGATCAGTGGGAAAGGCTGTCTCGTGTTAGGGACTTAGGGAAAAAGAAAGAAGTATGTTAAAGCCATACTGTGGTATGCCACAACATAGGCAAATGATAGCCATGAGATTCATGTGGTCTTAGCAGTTAGGAAGTCTTAATTTTATTTGTAGAAATTTAATGCTGCTTCACATTATTATGAAGATCTCTCTTTAAAGCACTTCAGGAGCTTGTGCTACAACCATGAAGAGGTGGGCATTACCGAATGTAAAAGTTCATGGAGCTGTTTGTAGGTGGTGGAGGCATATGGGATGTAACTTAAAAAAACAAACTAGCAAATGTCACCCTTTAAGGGGTGTCCTGGCATTGTTTGTGGATTGTCTCTTAACACGGGCATGGTAGGGCATCTGGTAAGGACACTTTGTTTCCCCAGGAGCTGTCCTGCTCATAAACACTCCCTTGTGGAACAGTCCTGTTACTTCCAAATCTGAAGTTGAGCTGAGGTTCATTGTGTAGCCCTGCATAGTCCTTGACTGATTTTTAGCTAGTGGGTGGGTCAAGATAATATTTTGGGATCAGATTTTTATCATGTTCACCCCCTGTTCTCTCCCTTTA